ACCTCTACAACAAAAAGACAAATAATCCAATTGAAAAATGGAAAGGAAATGAATAGACACTTCACCAAAGAAGACATTCAAGCAGCTAACAGACACATGAGGAAATACTCACAATCACTAGCCATTAGAAAAATGCAAATTAAAACCACAATGAGATACCATCTCACCCCAGCATTACTGGCACAAATTAAAAAAACTGGAAATAACAAACGTTGGACAGGCTGCGGGGGAATAAGAACTCTTATGCACTGCTGGTGGGAATGCAAAATGATATAACCATTTTGGAAAATGATACGGTGCTTCCTTAGAAAGCTAGAAACAGAAACACCATACGATCCAGCAATCCCACTCCTAGGAATATATCCTAGAAAAATAAGAGCCGTCACACGAATAGACATATGCACACCCATATTCACTGCAACATTGTTCACAATAGCAAAAAGATGGAAACAACCTAGATGTCCATCAACAGATGAATGGATAAAAAACTATGGTACAGACACACAATGGAGTATTACACAACGATAAAGAACAACGATGAATCTGTGAAGCATCTCATAACATGGATGAAACTGTAGGACATTATGCTGAGTGAAATAATAACAAAAGGACAAATATTGTATGAGACCTCTACTGTAAAAACTCATGAAAAAGTTTACACACAAAAAGTAACAATCTAACTTCTGGCCACATGGCACTATAGGCAGAAGCACCATGCCGTCCCTCCACAGCAAAGACCCAAAAAACTAAGCCAAACAGAGAAAATAGCAATCCTGAAATCCTAAACAACAAATGAAGAGAGAAAGAACTCAGCCAAGCACCAGATGGAATAAGAAATTGACAGAGAACAGAGAGCGAGGAGACATACATGCAGAGGTCCCCTATCAGCTAATGCAGCATGGATACACCATCTTGGACTCCTATCAGAGACCAGCAAATAGGGAGTATGAGAAAGCAGCTTCACAGAGCTTCCAGGAGGGGACAGAACAACTGGTAAACAGCGATATATGCTTTCCCACCCCCTATACTTCTTCATCCCCACTCGCCCTCCTCTGCTTCCCGCAGCCACAGTCTCTTGGCTGGGAAGCACCGACTGCTTGGATTCCACTGGCCTGCAATGGACGACTCCCTGAGTGCCATTTGCTGGCTGCCGGTGTTGCTTTTTTCCACTTCTTTTGATTTCTTCCTTACCTCTCACCACCTCCCTCTCCTTCTGCTCAAATACCAGGCTCTGTGCGCCATCTTTGCTTCTTCCTGAGAGGCTGTGGAGCTCCGTTTGAGTGTGGAACTGCTTCCCAGACTGTGCTGCCATGCTGGTGGGATCCCGGGGCTTTGTTTGTTTGTTTGTTTTCAATTGTTTATTTGTTTTCCTTTTCTTTTCTCGAGTTGGGAGCCTGTTCTGGCCAGGGGGTGCTGTGTGGCTTGGGACCTACCCCCTCAGCTTGTGCAGACATGCAGAGGGATCCCTGAGAGCATTTCTTT